ACCGGATATGATAGTAGGTTATTACTAGGGGGTACAGATAGGTTTATTACATCTTCTATCTCGTGTTTTGCCGTGAGAAAACATTGTCCAAATTTGTATATAAGAAAAAGAAAAAAAGGAGACACTAGAACTCTTCTTGCAACTCTCATTGTGTCTTCCTTCATTAAGAGTTGGTAAGTTTTTCGATATATAAAAAGATAAAGATACAAAGAAGAGTGCTTCATAAATAATATCCATAGTGGTCGTGAAATAAAAGCTTCAAGATATACAAAGAAGAGTGATGATTATAATGGCATAGACTTTCTTCAAAATATTTGTGAACATTTCTATGTATAATAAATATAAAGATAAATGCTTACACTGAGTTTACATTATTAGCTTACAAATGAATCAAAAGAAAATGTTAAACTATTTTTCTTCTTCCAATTACAGTATTATTGTCCGAATTAATTGGTGTTTATTCCGGAGAAAGAGAAACAAAATCAAAAACCATAAGAATGATGATTCCTATGGTAACTCATGATTTCTCTTTCTCCTTTTGTTATTTCAACTAAGAAAAATAAAAGGCTCAATGGACTTGACCAATGGATCAAACCCAAAGGACATTGTTCTTCTTCTTTTGGGTTCTTTCTACCTATTGGAGCAAGAGAAAGACATTGGAATGTGGTTGAATTCTGAAGTGTCGAATAACTCCATGAACCTTTGATCTGAAACTCTAGCTTTAGCTGCAGCAAATCGCTTGTACTCATCGTATATCGATGTCAAGCACCATTTCTGGAGTTTTCTCATGCACCCAACAACACACCCGGTTCTATGCTGCAATGATCACAACCATTGTTTCGCGTCAAAAACAAAGAAATGAAACTCGAATTCGAGGTTAGTTAGCTTTTGATCATATTTTTTACAGTTTTAAATACCTTGCCTCGTTTGCAATGAATCAGAAGTGGATGGTTCTTCTCATCTGAGGATTAAATACAAGATACAATTAATTAGAAGATACTACTATATAAAAAGCAAGAAATTTATATGGTTTTTATTCTTAAAGTCTCTTTTAGGGCTTCTATGATTCATACCGAGAAGGACTTTGAGAGCTTCACGGATTTTATGGTCCTGGATATTTACATATGGTTCCTGTAAATGAGAAAAAGAAAAGATCACACTATTGAGTTCCTTGGTAATTCTTTAGTCTACTATATGAGCAACTTAATTATATGAAACATTTTTAAGATTCATTCTTCGAGACCGAAATCGATCAGCAAAATGGGTTGGTTTGGTTATACCCTTTAGTACAGTAAAAGAGCTGTGTGAAGAAGTATATTCTATCTTCTTATGTCAAAAGTTAGTCATAACCACAAAATTGATATATGTCAAGCAGCCAATTATGAAAACGAAAATGATTTCCTATGAAGACTAGAGAGTTGTCACACCAAACATAATTAAAGAATCTTAGCCAATAAGTAGATTTAAACAAGAGAGAACACAACAAACAAACACGTGAGTGTGGAATATCCAGCACCCTTCTAGTCAAAATCACTTTGAAAGAAAAGCCACTTTACCCCATCAAACTAGCAGCCCCATCACAAGTTTTACAGACTTATTCAACAAAGTAAACATGTTTGGTTGGTTACTTATCAAGTTTATGGATTAGACATTTTGCGATAAAGGTAACTAATTCAAGACTCTAAGCTCAAGTTTTTGGTTATTCCCTATCTTACCAACAATTCCTCCCTCGAAACGAAAAGTCATTTACCCGAACACGAGCAACTAAAACATAGTAAAGCAACATCAAATACATAGGTAACTTGGATAGAACTTGATGATCTATCACTTTCACAATTTCTAGCTCGATTTAGATATCATATACCTACCACCGGTTCATATTTGGGATACTTTTACCACTAACACATTTTCGACAAGTCGCTCTCTACAAAGTTTTCACCATCAAAACCAAAAGGTTGTTCGTATATTATCTACTTCAACTACAACTTGTGCCGCCTCAAGAAACACTTTTTTTTTCAAGATTACATAAGATACCACTTATGCATCAAACTGCATGTGCTACTAAAGTTCCACCATCAAAAACCAAAAAAAGTTGAGGTATGTTGTCTGCTTCTACTACAACTTGTGCTGCCTCAAGAAACCACTCTTTTTTTTCTTCTTTCAAGATTACATAAGATACCACTACTCATGCATCAAAGCGCACGCGCAACTAACATGAACC